TCATATTTCCACCATCCAACTTTGTTTGTTCAGAACCCTTAGCATCATCTGCATGGTGAAAGCTTCGTCTGTCGCAGCCACTAACAGGAGCTGGCTATCTACTTTAGTCGTAATTGCGCTTCTTTCTGAAAAGGGGATTAATAAGCTGCTGATGTGTCCACTAAAGACCCATTTTGAGGGCTCCTCTTTTCACTTTGGGACAGGAAACAAGCTTACATTCTCCTCTCTCCTCTCTCTTATTGAACAAAATTATACATAAAAATGGGAAGCTTCTTGCAGAAGTTATCAAATTGTATTATTTTGGTTTTGGCTAAGATGTTTTTAACATGTTGTTGTTCATTCATGTTGTTGTTTTTGATATTCTTGGATTAGAATTTGTGCTTCGTGTGTATCGCGAAATCTACTCGAGTAATATATGAAATGTAATATAGGTTTCTTTAGCAGCAAATATTTGGAATTTTATACGAGATAAAGAAGTGCCAAATTTGATGGTCTTTTTTTTAATAACATGTTTGCAAAAACCAAGTTTGTAAGTTCTGTTTATACTGGGTGAGCTCAGGCACCATGAAATAAAAGTGTCGACAGGCGCCTTCACTACAAAGGTCGTCATTTACCCTCGCGAATTCAGGTTGTTATAATTCCATTTGCTCCCATATTGGCTAAATACGAGAAAAGGTGAGAGAGGGGAGGGAGGAGGGAACGGTGAGGGGTCACGCAGCAGTGTTGAATGCTAACGTGCTGTTTTTTGTTAATAAAATCATAATGGAGCGAAGTGGGTGTTAGTTCCTCAAAGAATTGTCGAGTTTCATTATACCCAATCCCCTCAACCTTAGACGAATCCTTGGGTTAAAGTGCAGTGTTTCGATGTAACCTTTTTCGCCTGGGAAAGCTCGTGCTACCTGGTTGCACTTTGGTCGATAATAATGACGAACTTCAGATTGTAGTCTTTACGATTTTAAAGTGAATAGAAAGCCTAAAATAGAGAAATTCCAAAAAACTTATGGATAACCCGATGAAATATACCACAAATTAAAAATGAGCAGTGAGCCAAAGTTGGAAAGGCATGTTTATTTCTCAAAAGTGGATGTATAGAGTGAAACTGCG